TTATGATCTCAGCTATTAAAATTACTATAATATTCACAAAAAACCCTACTGATATTAATATCATATATGTTCAATTTTAATGGAAATATGTATTATTCGGCAAGAGTTCAAAGATTTTCAAATTAAATCATCTGGTTTGAAGAAGAGCCACACAACTTTCCTATACGCCAGAAATCAAATGGCTATTTTCAACAAAGCAAATGAAAACGTTTCAGAAATTACTTTAACGGAACAGACTGCTTATTAAATAAGAAAAAAAAATACTAGATGTTTAGTATAGATTTTAGAGTCAATAAAACCTGTACTCCATTGTTAGATGTATGCACTAATAACAAATAAATACAAATCCTAAACTTAATGGGACAGTGCAGAAAGTACTTTTGTATTGATACGATGTGAATATTGCTAATACTGAGATAAGTAGATGAAGTTTCATCAAATGTAATATTCTAGTTTTTACTGGTTTTTTAAAACCAACCTTCACAAGTATAAAATCTCTTACCTATTGTGAATAATGGATATTTTATCACTAAGGTTTTGGCTTCGTATCAGTCAGTAAGCATTGGTGTCAATTGTGACAGTGACAACTAATTACCGGAGCAAAATATGCCTATATTATATTCGATATTTGTTTTATGTAATATGATTTTACACATCATTCTGAGCATCAACCAATTGAATGTAGAATAAAAAATAATCAGTAATGAAGTAAAACCCCAAGTTTTCTGTCATCATATTGAACTCAGATATAGATTACTTTTGAACCTCTGCATCATGAAATATGTTTCTGACATAGTGAATAAATTACTGATAACTGCCAAACTACATCAATTCATTTGATTTTAACTAATTTAAGTAGCAGCTTTAAAAAATACATTGAACTTGCTGCCAAAAAAATGTAGAAACATCTAAAATGACAAGTGAATTCACAAGCTTTGTAATCTGAATTACTTTAGATCACATTTTGTTATGTATTGAACAACATGGCTATTTAACAGTTTAATTCATAGTGTTTCTACAGTATGCCTCCAATATGAAACGATTAGACTTGGTGCTTCAAACTGACCTCGAGCAAAACTATGATAATAAGCAGAGGCTTAAGGAAAGTAAGGGCAACATGAAGTTACGAAATTCTTTGCCTTAATTGTTTGAACGTTTGAAAAAAATGTATTGTTAGGAAGGTTAAACGGCAATTATTCTGTTAATTACTATTTATTGTTGCCACAATAATTTTATGTGAAGTAAAAAAGACGATATTTACAGACTGCAATAGGTTCATAGTATTTGATTGTTTATGTTCACCTACATACAGGTAAATATGTCTAATTGTTTTCAATTATCAACACAATGCTGAAAAGTGAATTATCGATCGATAATGAATAAGTTAGGTGTAATCAGCATTGCTTAAGATGACAGTTTTAGAATGTAAAGACAATTCCATTGAGGGATATAGTGAACTTTTTGGAAATTTAGGAAGATAATGTGGATGATTTGATTAGTGCTATATGACCACCGTTTAACAGTTGTTGTAAAGCATAATGATAGTCCTTTTTTCTTGATTTAGGATTAAAGAGATAGTGTCGTATGTAACTGGTTAGGAATATCAACCAGCTTTCGTTTGAGCTAAACATGTTTGTCTTTGCTTGGTGGTTTCAGGTCGAATAGTTATTGAAGCATAGGTTTTCAAACCGAGCTTTTTTATTAATTCTGTTAACAGATTTGTACAGAATGTGAAATTTAAAATTAATAGATAGAGCTTCAGATTGATTTTTTATTCAGTTTCATGTTTGATGAGTTAAAAATCTCTCTCTATGGGTTATCTAGAAATTTCTCCGAAATTTTCTCCTTTATCAACGCTTTTTATAAAAATAAGTCATTTGTTTTAGCTCCCTTCAATTGTGCATCTGTAATGAAATTAACGAGTTGTATATAAAATGTTACGTTAAATTTTTTAAGTAATTTGATAAACCGAGTGGTAGTCGTCTGAACATCATCTGTTATTTTGTTGGAAGATACATCTTAAAAAATTATCTAATGATTCTAGAACTATTACTCCAAGTAATAGTAAAAATACCCTACCAAAACTATCATTTCTAACTACAAATTACTTATTCTTTATCGGTTACCAACTCACCCCTAATTACTGTGTTAATAATCAAAAATAACTAATTAGATTAACTTGTTTGTAGGTGAAGATGAGCAATGAAAAACAATAGTTCATTGTTTAAGTAAAGAAGAAAATCGACAATGAAATTCCAAGGATAGGTAAGATGTATGTTTTACTACATAACCTTAACTCCTGAACAATATAGGAAAATGAGACACTTTCACAAGTCCTGTATAAGAATACACTTTTTTTCATAAAAAATATATTACTACTATAACTAATTACACATAATCTTCAGATGCATTTTGACTGACTAGTCAATTAAGCGTATAACAACTCAGACAATTAAACTATTTAAATGAAACTTGCAGTCTCTGGATTATTGTTCATAAAATGTCGTTTATATTTCTTAGTCATAATTCAGATATTCCTTGAGTAAAAGATAATTTTTGAAGCATATCTGACGTCAAATCTTTTTAAAGTTTATAAAGTTAGTGAATTCAGATATACTACTTTGTTATTTGTCAGTAACATATAAATGTTTCTTATAAAAAATCTAATTATTTTCCCTCAGTTAAGATTTGCAACTTTTGATGGGAATATAAGTTATTTGAAGTCAGCACAGAAGTTATAACCGTTCATCAGTTGAGGAATTGGTTTATGTCCAGTATCTGAAGGTTAAGACAACTAAACAAGTGACAACCTAATATATCTATTTCATTTTGCTTTATTTTCTCACTACATTCGGTTAGTGTTGGATGAGTATTTTGTCAAACACTTTATATTAGTGTATATGTATTTTACGTTTGAAACAACTGTGTTCTATCCTTCTGTTCACAATATATCTTATCACATTATTTTCATTTATTCGTTGGTAATCACTTTCATTCTGATTTGTGCTCTGTTTAGTATAACAACATTTAAGGTTTGGTAATATTTGTTATGAGTCACATAGTAGTATTATAATTCCAAACACACCTCACTTTTCCCTTATAACGTCCTAGTTGAGTTGCATATAAAATGCTTCTTTTGATTGGATATGAAGTTGTATGACATTGCTTATAAAAGAATATTTCCAGTATTGAAGAAAATTCCCATAATATATGCGATTATCGAACTATGTCTAATAACTATGATATTTGTTGAAGTTGGAAACGACTTACATAGGGATGTATTTCAGTAAAAGTTTATGCAAGCAAATAAATGACAACACAAATGAAAGCTAGTAAAATCATACAATTTATTGACTTTTCCAATTTGACTAGAAATACTGTGGCTGGCATGAATACGTTCTTTAGAGTGTGTAAAATTGAGTGTCAAATGTAATTTAACTATTTAGACATTTTACAAGTTAATCTGTCAATGAAAGAAACTTAACATCCAAGAAAAAAAACAATATAAAGAATTTTTTCTGTCAATCCTATAGGTATTCTGACATTTCAACATTTGAAAATTACTAAATTTAGCGAAAATTTTTAAAACTGTAGCTAAAAATTATGCCCTCAACTGGTGAATAATATGCTTCATAACTAGTAAAATATAATTCTATAAAGTAGTAATAATCGTTTTCAAGATGTGCGTCACATGTGTACTTTATTATTATCAAGCCTTTCAGTGATATATATACTCTAAATATATTGAAAGAGTATTTTTTCATTGAGATCATTGAAAACCTGGAAGCACTAGACGGCCGTTTTGTCCGAGTATGGGACTCCTCATCAGTGCGCATCCACGATCCTGAACGCGAGATCAACCTCTAGACAATTTTTTTATCAAATTATTTCATTCAGTAAAATATTCTTAACTGCAACAAATTTGTTTGTAAATGAATTTTGTTATCTTTTCATAGTTAAACCAGAGAATCTAACAACAACAAAAAAGATTTGTAGCAAAACTTTCATACAGTTGGATCGCTTGATAAACTTAAACAGAACAAGAATAAAAAGGTTTACAGAATAAAATTAATTTATTATATTTCATGGTTTCTCATCAGCTTCATACCACCTAAAATTACAATTCCTAACTTAAACATAGGCTATGCGCCTGCCCGTGAGACCGATAGGTCCTGGGTTCGAGGTGAGACCGTGGATACACACTGCTGAGGAGTTATGTTCAAATATAGAATTCAGTGGGAAATCGACTATTCTGGAAAGGCATCACATAAAAAAAATGTATACCCGAGGAAATTTATCACGAAATATCGAAAGGAATATCCCAAGGATGATAAAGAACCAACTGTTGAAAAGAAACCTCTCTTCATCCACCTTCTGTTTAAGAGAGATGGGACTTAAGGGAAACCAATAGGAGAGTCCAGGTGGCACTCAAAAGAACTTTCCATGCTTCTCGATTGGTTTCACCATAAATTCACTATGGTTATCTATATTCATCTGGCTAATGTCATAGAATAGCTATTCCTCTAACCATTTGAGGGATTCTTAGTCCTATTAATTTAAGCAGAAAACTGTTAAAACGATATATGTGACTGTGAATGAATGCTCCATATTGGCTGTTTATACTAAACGAGTTAGAAACAAGCTGTTAACACGTTTAGCTATACTTTTACTTAATCACACGCTTTTTCATTTGATACGTTTGTAGAAATAACTTTCAGTTAAACTCAAATATCGGCAGCACTAAAAATATATTACTCTTTTTGTTTGCACTTTACAGTTTTTATACACTTAAAACACTAGTAACCATTAATAAGTGTACACATTTATCTTAAAAGTACATTTTCCGGAATTAAAAATATTTTTTCCTGTTGGATTTTTATGATTACAATTTTACGTTATACTATTATCATTAGTTTTATAGACATATATTTTCTACAGAATTCAACTTCTTGAATCTCATTATTATTTTATTTGCTAAAGTATTCATTAACTATACTTACTTGCTTACTCCTTTTACCCCTTGTTAAGCAGTAAAGGCCACCTACCAGCACTCTCCATCCAACCCTGTCCTGGGCAATCCTTTTTAACTCTTTCCAGTTGTTAGTCATCCATTTCATACCTGCTTCTACTTCCTGACGTAATGTGTTCTTTAGCCTTCTTCTTTTCCGTTTTCCTTCAGGATTCCAAGTCAAGGATTGCCTCGAGATGCAGTTTGGTGATTTCCGTAATGTATGTTCTATCCATTTCCATCGTCTTTTCCTAATTTCCTCCTCAACTGGAAGCTGATTTGTTCTCTCCCATGGAAGGCTGTTGCTGATATTCATTAACCATAGATTGTTTAATTTTATTAACTTTGATTTTACTCATAGTTGATCAAACTTATAAATCTACGATTATGTGAATATGTATATTTTTCCTACTACTTTCAGGCTACACAAAAGAAAATTCATTATAATAACAATTAAAACAAACCCATAAAATATATAATTTGAAAGCACAATTAAACTTGATTTATGCTAAAAAGACAAATAAATAAATGGCGAGACTATAATTTATGAACCAACCAATCAGATATAAGATAACAGGTCTCGGATTTTGGCGCGACATTTACTTATCCATTTGGCTAAATAAAGTCTTGGTATTATAATTGATGTCGATTCGTGATGAAAACCATAAATATAATTCCTAACCTTAACTATCAACTATAAATTATAATTATAATTCCTCACACTGGTTTATAACCTTTATTTGGTTCTAATTATTAGGTGGACACTCTCAAGGTTACTTTAGCATCTCTCAAAGGTCGTCCATAAATTACAGTTTCATCAAAAAACCTACCATTACATAAAGTATGTATGGATCAAATAGGAGAACAGATTAATATTATACGATAAGTGAAGACCAGATTGAATTATCAATTTATTTATTCAGTATAATTCCGGTTACCGTTGCTTTAGTACAAACACATACTGTTATATCCGATAAAGACTAAAGGAATGCTAACGCCAGGATTAAGTTTCGAACTATTATTGCTTGTATTATTATTGCGTAATTACAAGGTGACTTAATTATTATATGTAAGAAAATATTATATTTTATCATGGGCTTTGGTTTGACCCATTAACTGCTGTTATATTACTTACTATTTTTAATTTGTTGCCAGCTTCATAGTCACGTTTTGTCTTGATCATGTATAATTGTTATTTTTAATTTTATGGTATAATGTGTTTTGAAATGTCTGTACATAAACTACATATTCTTAAAGTATAATTTCGTCTGATGGAGGTTTATTACTGCGTTCTGAACTCAACGGGAAGTACAAGAAAATAGGTTACCGAACCGAGGATAATTAAGAGCTCAGTGCCAACTAAAGGCTATTGATGCTGTAAACGGACTCCGATTGTATTTTTGTCACACAATATTGGTGAGCGGTCATGAGTCATAACATAAATTACTTTTTTTATGATATAAGAAATTATTGTGTAAATTTAATGGAGAATGTAAGAATGTACATTAAAAATTGAACTAAACTAGACCTTTGGAATTAAATAATCATTCGTTACTTATAGTTGAGAGGTATATTACTGATAAATAGTTTTATCTCTTATTCATGAAAATTCATAAATGTTACTTTATAGGTAGACTTTTATCTTTTAAATGGACAAATTGAAATGTTCGTCGTAATGTCAAGTTCACGAAACTACTGGCCATTACTAAGGTATAGAAAAGTAGGCTAGGGATAACTATTGTTCAGTGGATATTTAGATGATTTTGAACAGCATATTCTCTGAATATAAACAAATTATTGTTGAATTCTTTTAATTATCTGTTGAATAAATATGATCCACCTTATCAAACTTTGCAATATAGTACAATTCACCTCAAATGTATTTCTGAAAATTATCTTTTTCTTTTTATAAATACTGAAGCATTTGATCAGTCATAACACTCTAAACTGTTTCATCAAATATTTAATTAATCAGGTGAAAAAAAACAGATTATCTATTCAACCTACAGTCCTATTTAGATGAAAAGATGGAATAACCTTTTATGATGAAAATATACAGAAATTATGTAAATACCTAAGATTTGTAACGATTTAGTAAATTACATATAACCATTATAGCAACTCACGTGCAATTGAGTTTGTTCTCATTTAATTCGGTTAAGCCCTTTTGTTAACTTATTTAGAGGACAAAGTCCATCGTACTATAACAATTTATTGTACCTTATTCATTGTTGTGCTTGTATGAAATATGTATGCTTGAACATTGCTTACCGCCTAAGCATATATTCATTCTGCTAGTTTTATTATTATATAATTATATATATATTACATGAACATTTACACTACACTCTCGGTTTGCTGACTCATTCATTTGCCTCTCTGCTTTGTGGTCTGAGTTATCTTCTAATAAAACTGTAGTCTCTGCTTCTCTTTGCCTTCTGATTTCAAACACCGTTGAGGACTAGATGATAACGGTTACGAGGGTGATTGATCAACGAAGCACAGCCACTACACCATAAACAAAATACGAAAGTTTTACTATTAGAAAAAACAAGATTATTTATTTCGTAAATCCTCGCTCAAACAACAGTTTCATGTCTATCATATAAGTAGAACGTTTTATTTTTAATATTAAATTTCCGTTGCATTTTAATGAATCTATTCTATGTAAGTATAATACTATTCAATTATTATAAGTGTTTAAACGATAAATATTCAATAGACAATAATGAAACGTTTCATTATTATTTAGTATAGAACACATATATTAGACATAAGGAAAAAAAACAAGCCAAAATGCTATAAAACAACAAAAACAGCTGAGTTTGCAAATTTACTTATTGTGAATAAGCTAAAATAGGAATCCTAATTTCTAAGTGAACGGGATTAAAACAAAATATAATGATTCAATAAAATATTTGAATATAAGCAACGATTAAATCTACAAGGTTACATATTTTATATGAGTTCAAAAAAATCATTCTAGTCAAATGTATAAATTTCAACATATTACCAGATCTAACACTAACAAATTTGAGTCAATGTTCTTTATCAACTGAATTAAGAAAAAGATTAGTAAAGAAAACTATTGAGCAATATGTGTTTTTTTCATTTTGAGATTCACTTCTAGGCATAATTTTTAATAGTAAGTAAGCTAATATTACAATATCAAGCAATTATTTGTTTCAATAGTTAAGATCATGAGTCAGTTGAAGTTAGACCACTATGGAAAACCTGGTAGCACTAGACGGCCGTTTCGTCCTATTGTGGGACTCTTTAGCATTGTGCATTCACGATCCCGCCTCACGAGATTCGAACTCAGGACCTATCGGGCTCATGAACTCAACTATTAAACTACTATACTATCTACAAAAACTCCTTCTAATGCTAACCAGCATGTGCTCACTAGTGACTGGATAAAAGAGGTATTTCCTGGAGTTCTAGCGAGTAGCAGTGACCAATGGATTTCAACGGGGTCTGTTATGAGATAGTAACTCACTGATGACAATTGTGGACGGTGGTGCAACTTCGTGGATTAGTTGAAGTTAGACTTTAACACCATTTGATGCCAGCCAGCTCAGTGGTATTGAGGTTAAGCGTTCGAGCTCGAGACGGATAGGTTCGGGATCATGTAAAGCCGTCTAGTGCTTCCAGATTTTCCACGGTGGTCTAGTTTCAGTTGGCTCATGATCTCAACTACTGAAATTATCACAATATCTACAAAAACCCCTTTTGGTATTAATTTTTTATTTTTTTATTTGAGCACATACATATTGGTACGAAGGGGCACCGAATACATAAGCGTCACATAAGTCACTTGATTTGTGTGTGTGTTATGATAGTGTCCGAGCGCCCAGATCGAAATAGATGGTTTTCTTAGGAAGCCACACCTGAAGCTTTCGATCTAAAGGCCTGAACCAAAAGGCAGTTGAGCAACGTTAAGAAATCCAGTCACATGGTAGCCAGTGACCAATTTGTTGTCTCAGGATGCTGGAACCCATGTGCAGCATTTGTTTGGAATCAGGGTTTTCTAACTCCCCTAGGTGGATCCTCCATATCCACTAACCCGGATAAAGCTCCGGACATTTGCTTTTCGTCCTCTCAATTTCGTAAACAACACCCACACTACGAAAATGCAGTGAATGGGACTTCCCTGGCAGTAGCTGTATACGCGTGGTCATGTGAGAGCGTTTCGAGGAGGAGAGGTGATTACTCTTTCAGTCTCGTCCGTACCAGGGCATTTAGGGGTAATATCAAACAAAGTTCAAAAACAATATAATCATTAATTAACTTGTTATCTAAGTGATAAGAAAATGCTACGTGTTTCGTACAATTATTTTAAATTTTAGAACCCTTGCCTTTTTCCTTTAAGTTACCTTCATTTGTAACTTAGTTAATTCATTCAACTATTTTAAAAAAGTTATACTGACAGTGAATATCAAACGGTAGACAGTTGTGTTTTCCAACATAGTTTTCAAAAATTTTAATACGTATTTTTAAAAAGACTCCACGTTTCTAAATTATGCTTGTATTCACTTGACACAGATTTTTTTGAGCTTAACCGGGTTTTGAATTATTTCACTGAATAGACCTAAAACTTTTATATGTTAGTGACGCAACAACGAATATGATGAAGCATAGTTAGTTAATTATTACTAGGTGCATACTCTAGTTATTTTATTTACAGTTTATGGTAAACTTTGTTGTTATGTGTCTATCTATGAATTTCCCAAGAAACTTCACATATTTTTTCTGTTTATTTAAAAATATTAATTTTAGTAATAAATTCAATTAAAATCAGATCTAGTTGTTGAGAGTTTTGCTTTTCAAATCACACCAGATTCCCAGTAAAAATATAAACGTCTAGTAATTTACCAATAAGTCAAACCCTATTCCATATTGATTTTAGTTTGTTTTATTCAAAATTTATTTCATGCGATTAGTTCCCTTTATTCAAAATTTATTTGATTGAAAAGTATATTTACTTCATGAAGTATGTTTTTTTTTTCAATTATATACGTTTTTTCTACAATATAAGTAAACATTACTAATCAGTATGTAGATTCAAATCTAAACGAATTATGTACATGTATTTACAACTGATTGATCACTGGATGGTGATCAATGTCATGAATGTCAGGTTCTTCATAGTGCAGATCGAATCCTATCGACTAACCATCATCTAGACTCAACATAGCGCAGGCAATATCCAGTCAACTAGACTGGTGGTCACATTGCAACTTGATCGATAGGATTCGATCTGCACTAAGAAAGACCTGACATACATGACATTGATTACCACCCAGTGATCAATCAA